TGTGTGGGGGGGTGTACCAGTAGCCAAAGAGAAACAACACGTGAGGAACATCTGGAGAGGGAACATCCTGGGGTTATTTTTTGGGTGGAGAGGAAAGGGGACTGAGAAAGTGGGGGGGCTTTTTTTGGGGGGGGTAATTACTTTCAAATAAAGATTTTTTTGTTGTTGTTGTTGGGGAGGAAAGAGACAGGACCAGGACCGGCCTCCCTTTGGTGAGGGAGATTTTAAACATTAAGAATACTGGGAAGGTGAGGTGTAGCGGGCGAAGCTGTAGGGCCAGGGCTGGCCTTGGGAGGGGTAAAGAAAAGGTGGTCATTACAAGCGGCAAAGGAAGGAAGGGTGGGATTCAGAGAAGGAGGGAAGGCATCAAGAATAGAGCAACCAGAAAGAGCCTCCAGTGGAGATGAAGCAGGGGCTCGGTGGGTTGGAGAGAGGTTGTTGAATTGGACGCTAGCCGATGGCGGGATGTCATGGCCTGCCCTTCTGACTGGGATCCTGCCTGAAAGCTGAACGAGCCCGGTAGCAGCCACCTGACGTCCAAGAAGGCTCGGCTTGGTCTCAGAGTCTTCAGTTTTCCCTGGGCTCCCATGTAGAGGGAAAAGGAACTGCTGCAAAATAAGAGCACCAGGAGTTTTTGCAAGCTTTCGTGTTTCACATGTGTCAAGTAAACTGCCGCCTCTTAGACCCAGGACTGAGTTGCACTTCTTTCAGGGTCGGCTCCTGCTGCTTTGCTGTAAAGGAGCACGGTGGCGGAGGCCACAGGATGTGTTGGCAGGCAGGAAATGGGGCTCCTCAATGCTCAGGATGATCAGTCAGACTAGACTGTTTGCGCTCAGTGGAGTCCGATTGTTCTTCTGTCCCCAGAAACTTTGCTTTTCTCAGGCTGCGGAAGGCATGACGTTCCGAAACATCCAGAGAGTCCTCTGCGTGGCAGAGAAAAATGATGCTGCCAAAGGAATTGCAGACATCCTTTCTAACAGCAGGATGAGGAGGGTAGGAGATTACAGCTATGGCTTTTTAATGTTTTTATCTGAACGTAGGGCTTACCATGCTGCAGACGTTTGGTAGGATAACCAAGAGAGAGAGAGAGGGGCGGCCTCTGGCTGGCTCTCCACTTGTATCAGACTTGATTTCTCATGGTGTTTGCAGTGGGCAGGAGTTATGGGTAGTGTAGTACAAAATATGAGGAGGGTTCTAGGTTCCCTACCCTTTTTAGGTACATAAAACAATCTCCATGTATGTTTCTACAGAAATAAAACTCTATATTCCCAATAAGCCTATACCGCTCACCCCAAAGACTCTGAACCATATAGTCTTTCACAGTTTTTAGCAGCAGCGTAAACCATGCAGAGCTTGTTCATGTGGCTCATACAAAGGTTCCCTTCTTATGTAAAGGCGGCTGAGAAATCATTTCATTTATTTACTTACTTGTGTAATTTTTGGCTGCTTTTCTCCCAATAAGGGGACTCAAGGCAGTTTTCAGTGTTAAAAAAATTGAAAACAGTGTTATACATTAGAAAACAATTATGGGAAGCACTTCTGTTCACTGAAGTTTAACGTGTATTCTGCTGGGTGTAGATGCACAGGAAAGTTGCCCACCTTACACATACATTGTATATTACATATTTATTGAAATGTCACAAATACCTCTCCCATATTTAAAATCTATTTAGCACAATATTCTTGATTTCAGGTGCAAATATTTAGCCTTTTTCTCCTGGTTATATACACATGGTAACCTTCCAAGATCTTTGTCACATATCTGTTTGCTATATTCTATTGATTTAGCTTGGTAATTTGTTGAAAATTGGGTATTTTTATGTACTGAAATTGCTCCCTTTTATCTAGAGGGAAGGATTTTCCAAGTATAACAAGATTTATGAATGCCAGTACCACCTCTTTGGCCAGGTATGTGTCAAACGATAAGCCGTGGGTGTTCCTGTCATGTCACTGCACTTTCAGAATCTCTCTGTGCATAACGTTAATGGCGATGATTAAGCAATGGTTTTGAAGCCGTCATGTGACTGTTAACCAGATGTTTATGTTAAAGATGTAAACTTCACCAGATACCTAACTTTGAAAATAAGAACATCAAAGAATTTCTTAGGACTTGCCTGGATAAAAAAAAATTGTTCCAGAAGACCGTGCCATAGCATTGTTTTTTAAAATAGTGGTATACAATAACAAATTTAGTTGATAGAGCAGAAGGGGGAAACAGTTGAATGGAGCATTATTAAAGCAGATTGGGAGATACAGGACAGCTGAGAGAACAAAAGGCCAGATTTTCACACCACACAAGATTAGTCTTAGTGGTGAAATAGAACCTTTGTGTCAACCGCAGTGTACCTTTGAATAGAGCTTTGTGTCTCCAGATGTTTCAGTTCTTGACTTCCAGCCACCCCAGTGATCAAGAAAGCTGGGAGTGATCATTTTAGGTGTGCAGAGAGCCAAAGTGTCCCCTGTCTCTACTTCAGAGGATCAGATGTTTGTAGCAGATGTTGTGCTTTGCTTTTGGGCTTCCTGGAGGCAGATCTGGAAGTACGTTTGTTGGAGGAGAGGAACCTTTATAGCGGTGAGGCTAACTCATGTTGCTGTGCAACTGGGTGTTTTTGAAATGTATTTCCCTGTTAATTGTGAATGATGGAAATACTGTATGTTTATTGCTTATATATAAGCCGATATTCGTGACATTCAGACAACATTCCTCTTTCTTCTAAAGAAGCCAGATCAGGGGTACATGACAGGGATCGCGCTAGACGGCCTGATTTGTTTATGCAAATCTGACATGGTTTTTCCTTAGGAGATTTTTTTTCAGGGAAAACTTGTTAAACAAAGATTGCAGAGAAGATCATTCACTTGGCCTTCTCCTCCACAGAACGTCACGGTGGTGATGACATCCGTCTCGGGACACTTGCTCTCCCATGACTTCAAGCTACCCTTTCGAAAGTGGTATGTATCAATAAAGCTCTGCCATCATATTCTGAACAAACCCAAAATTTGGGCGAAATTGTCATCTATACCACAGTTGGGGTGCACGGTTGTGTTTGTTTAATGCTGCCTTTCTCCCAGGACTTGAGGCCAAAGGTGGCTTTGGGTATAGTTGAAAAACAATTCTGAGTCGAATAATCAAGTTTTTGAACATATTTAAATGGGGTATAGTGTTAAGATGTAGCTGGGTTAAGAAGCTTTTGAAGCCTGCCCATTAAAAATAATAACAGTTTACATCAAAAATTAAAGCGAAACAGCACAGTGGTTCAAAACGGCTGTCCTGGGCAGAAATTTGCCTGCCTGAACGGGATAGTCTTTACTTGCCACCAAGGGAGAAGGCAGGGGGTCAGCCTACCCTCCTTGGCAGGGAGTCCCAAAGTCTGCAAGTGACCACTAAGAACGTCGTCTCTCAGGTCTCGCCAAACAAGCCGCTAAAGGCAACAGACCCGAGAGGCAGAGGTCAAAGTCTGGACAGACTTGACTGTGAAAATACAGTCCTTCAGAGAGCTTGCATCTTGTAACAAGGGCGTTCGGCTTTGCCCAGAAACAAACTGGCCAAACCAGTTGGTCTCTGCTGTTCATGTGAATATATAAGAGTGGGGGGGTAAGAGAAGAGTCACGAGGGACCCAACAGGTCAGCAGCCGAATTGTCTTAAGAGGAACCGCCGCAGAATCTGTTCCTCTGCAAAAACAGTTTCTCCAAACGTCCTGTAAGGGTGTCCCAGAAGGATGCTGTGGTCATTGGGACTGAAAGCTGTCAAGTGATTCAGCCGAACAGGGACACACTCCCCTTGTCTGGTTGAGAATCCATCCCTCCCTCCCATCCATCCATCCCTCCCTCCCTCCCTCCCCTCTAGTTCTAGTCTTCCTTACCTCTTGCTGATGATGCTCTTTCTCCAGGCACAGCTGTAACCCACTTGTCCTTTTTGATGCTGACATTGAGAAATTCTGCCCTGAAAACTACATGGACATTAAGGTTTGTGCTGTTGGGGATATTTTGCATGCCGTAAAATGTCCAGAGAGAGACCATACCCAAGGCAGGCACAAGGTTCCCCCGCCGTCCCTTCTGGACAGAGCCTGGAGGCGATGATCCGTATGGTCCCCCTCCCAGCTTTGCAGTTCCAAGATGATAATGATAATGATGACCTGGCTAGAAAGATTTCCTGGGTGCCCCCTAGTCCAGGTGTGTTGGTCATAAAGAGTGACATTTCCAGACATACACTGACACGTTGAGGATTTAGGTTATTTCTTCTGCTTTTGTGCCTCCTGCTGCCCAGATTCAAGCCTGGTTTATCTCTAGCACGGCCCGGCTTGCCTGTTACTGCGAGAGATGCATTTATGTTCTCCCACCTGCTGCTTTTGTGTCTGGCTGCGAAAGAACCAACAGCAGTTGTGGGGCCGCTTCCTTTCCCGTTCTCTCAATTTGTCCTCTTCCTGGTTGCAGCGAACCCTTGAGCGAGAAGCTCAGCAGTGCCAAGCTCTGGTCATCTGGACAGACGGCGACCGCGAGGGAGAGAACATTGGCTTCGAAATCATTCAAGTCTGCAAAGCAGGTGCATGGAGGGGAGGGGAACGGGGGCAGGATGCGTGCGGTCCCAAAGCACAGAATAGATTCCACAGAATAGAGGTCTTCGCCAGTGAGGACGGGGTAGACCAACTCCCATTCTTTCCTCTTACAGTTCATACACACACACACATCTTCACACACACATCTTCACACACACATACACACATACATATTTTCCGCGCTCGTTATGCGAGGCACCACTGTGTATATCTTCACCCATCTTGGCTCTTTTCTCCACCCTAAATCTGAGTCTCTGCCTTTCTCTCTCCTTCACTGGTGGGCAGTGAAGCCAAGCCTCCAGGTGTTCCGCGCCCGCTTCTCTGAGATCACACCGAACGCCATAAGAGCGGCCTGCCAGAACCTCACCCAGCCAGATCAGAACGTCAGTGATGCCGTCGATGTTAGGCAGGAACTGGATCTCAGGATTGGTACGGGGTGCGCTTGGGGCGAAGGGTGCCGGGGGCAATTTACGGTCCCTGCCTCTCCTCCCGCTTAAGTCATAACTGGGACGGTCAAAAGAAATTGACACCTGGACGTGGGTTTTGTAGCCTTCGTCCAGCATGGTTTCACAGACTATTCAAAAGCGGGGATGTTGGGGGAAAGCCTTTTTTGGCTCGGCCTCTGACCTGTGTAATAAATAAACAAGTGGAGACACAGCAGCTTGGCTTCCATATTCGCCTTTTCATTTCTTCCTGCGCTCTGCCCAGGTGCTGCGTTCACTCGGTTCCAGACTTTGAGGCTCCAGAAAATCTTCCCTGGCGTTTTAGCAGACCAGCTGATCAGCTACGGGAGCTGTCAGTTCCCGACGCTGGGCTTTGTGGTGGAAAGGTTCAAAGCCATCGAAGCCTTCGTTTCCGAGACCTTCTACAAAATTAAAGGTACGCTTCAAGATATCAAACAGGGCTGTGCTTCCTGATGGTGACTCGAATCATCCTTTTTTTCCTTCCCCCGCCCGCCCCTTGCTACTATATGCGCACCCAAACCTCTCAGACCAACGAGAAGCTCTTTTTTTTTTCATGAGATCATATTATCTGGGATCATCTATGAAGGTGAATGTTGAGCGGTTTGGGGCAGGTAAAGGGAAATCATCCTTAACATTTTGTCAGACTGTGGAATTCACTGCCACAGGATGGTAGGATGGCTGCCCTTTGGGACAGCTTGGAAAGGAGGTGACCTCGATTCGCGGAGGCTAGAGGTAGTCAGAATGGCTAGGCCCCACCTTCTGTCTCAGCGGCAGCATGCCACTTTAAAGCAGACCGAAATGGAGGGTGTCCCAGGAGCATAACCCTGCTTGCTTCGCTTCCAATGTGGTCAGAACGCTGGACGAGATATCTGACCTTAGATCTGATTGCACAGAACTCCTCTTAGGTGGTATATCGTCCCGGTGATCCTCATCCGTCAGTAACATCCTGTCTCCTCTTTGCAGTGACTCACGAGCATGAAGAGGGGACGGTGGATTTCGGCTGGAAGAGGAACCGTCTCTTCAACCATACAGCATGCCTCGTCCTTTACCACATGTGCATGGAGGTAGGAAGCCACACGGTCCGGCCTTTAACCTTTTCATTCCCCAGGATCTGTGAAGATCACGGTCTCTTCCTGATGGCATGTATTTTCCTCTCCTCCGCCTTAGGACCCAGTGGCCACAGTGGTGGAAGTTGGAAGCAGACCAAAGAGCAAATGGAGACCGCTGCCTCTGGACACTGTGGTACGTTTAGGAGAAGGTGGTGTCAAAATTAGGATGTCATAGTGGAGTTCTGAAATAGGCGTATAGTGTCTTGGAGTTCTCTATTGGGAGGGGAAAGGGATGGAGAGATAACAGAGACTGCTCAGCTAGGAAACCCACGTTCTCAGCCCCTCAAAGAGAAGGGGTCCTGCAAATGGGGTTTGAGGACCGACCTCTTCCAGCAAATGTTCTCCTGGTTGTGTCTAAAAGACCTCTGTTCTTTAAGAGGCATATTCTTTAAGGTTGATAATTGTGGGCTGGATTTGGTTTCAGGGAACTTCTCAGAGATCATAGTCCGGCGGTAGTACAGGAACGAAGCTACATTGGCAGGGGGCAGGAATGCCGAGGGCTTTTGAGTTTAGAGCTCTTTCCAGCAGGAAATAATAAGTGGCAGGAGAAGCATCTACCTTTTTTTGAGAGCCGGAGAGTTTTAGTGTTGTTGTGACCCTTCCGAAGCCGGTCGCCTTGCTTCTTTGAGGTCCGTGACAGAGAGAGGGCCTCAAAGTATGTTTAAGCATATTTTTCCCCTCGTCCCCGTTCGATACAGGAACTCGAGAAGCTGGCTTCCCGTAAACTGAGGATAAATGCTAAAGAAACCATGAAGATTGCCGAGAAGCTCTACACTCAAGGGTGAGAACTGCCGTGATGCTTTATGTCCCAGTCTCAGAAGAGCTGAGCCAGGCCTTTCAAATCCAGCATTTTTTCCCCACACAAGTGGTCAGGCAGTTTTTTTGTGGAGAACCTAATTAGCAGAACGCAAGTCCATCTGCGTGAGAGGTGAATCGCAGGGAAACTGCTATGTTCTTCTCATTTCTGACATGGCATTTGGGATCCGTGTCTCTAAGACTGTGGCTTGCTGGACCAACACCTAAAAATTTGTCCTCTTTTACATGCTGTTCTTCTTCTTATTGCCAATTATTATTCTTTCCTCTTGGGATGCTTGTAAGCTGGTTTTAAGAGTCCTTTCTAGTTTCTTCCTCTTCTTTTTTTAGATACATAAGTTACCCCCGAACAGAAACCAACATTTTCCCCAGAGACCTCGACCTTTCGAACCTGGTTCAGCTCCAGACACAAGACCCTCACTGGGGAGCCTTCGCACAGAGGATTCTGGACCAGGGTGGGCCAACCCCACGTCAGGGAAATAAATCGGATCAGGCCCATCCTCCCATTCATCCTACAAAATACGGAGTGAATCTGCAGGTGAGGTGACGTGACTGAAGCTGTGTTGAAACTGCCCCGGTTCCTTTCTCTGGATCCATCTCTTTGTGCCTTGTTTCCTTTTCCATCCTGTCAGGGGAACGACCAGCGGCTGTACGAATTCATTGTGCGCCATTTCCTGGCCTGCTGTTCCCGAGATGCAAAAGGCCAGGAGACGACAGTGGAGATCGACATAGCCAAAGAGCGCTTCGTCGCTCACGGGTTGATGATCCTGGAGAGAAATTACTTGGAGGTCTATCCGTACGAGAAGTGGAGCGATAAGGTGAGCCCGTCTGACCTCCGGTGCCCAGCAGCAATGAGACAAGGGCATGTTTTAGAATCGAAGGGTGCGCAGATGAGTGCTTCTGGACTGTAACTCCCAGAAAGCTGTACTGCCTGGAGAATTCTGGGATTTGCCATCGAGCGGCACGTCAGGCTGCACATCGCAGTGTCTGGATGAAACCAAGGAGTCTGCCCCATGAATCTTCCAAGGCTTTTCAACTCTTGCCTTTGTCCTTTCTTCCCCCCTTTTCGCCTGACCTTACCCCACAGGTCATCCCCGTTTATGAGAAGGGGTCTCGCTTTCAGCCCACCACCGTGGAGATGGTCGACGGGGACACCAGCCCGCCGCAGCTGCTGACGGAAGCTGATCTCATTTCCCTCATGGAGAAACACGGCATCGGTCAGTGCTGTCGCGTCCGCGTACAGGAGGGGCATGGCAGGTCTGGAAACACCAGCGACGTTTAACGTGCGCTGTCTTTAAAATTATCTGAAGCTGCGAAAGTCAGTTTTCTGCGGCTTGAACAACAAATATGTTATGAGTGTGGTGTGGTCTAGGATACAACAAGGTAGCTGAGGCTGAGCAGAGGGAAAAGGACCATGGATGATCTCAGAGTTGACAAATGGATGGTGGAGACTGCAGGATGGGACTAAAGGCGCCATTTGTCCAGGAGAAGCGGCATACGCCGTGATTAAGGCTGCCCTTAAAGATTAGCAGTGTCTTATTTGGGACCCTCTTCCATACCTTTCGGCCATGCATTTTGCCTCTGTATATCAGCCGTCGTTCCATTCCTGCCTAGCTGCTCTAAGGCAATCGGCTGGCCAGCCTGTTGTACTCAGAAGGCCTGTGAGCGCTGCGAGCGCTGTTAGTTTCAAAAGCTTCTTTAAAATTCATCTTGATGCAAATTGCAGTCTTATGTAAGATACAGCCTACTGGAATTAATGTCAGGTTAGGTTTCCCATTCTTCAGAAGTGGATTCCGTGAGTCTGGTCTCATTGGGGTTACTCATTGGATTTAAGCCTTTTCGGTTTCATTGTTATGGAGCAACATGAATGCTTCCCCACCGTAACGGTTGCTGCTTCCAAATGTTAGTGGCTACGCTTGTTGTTTGTTTCATGGACTCATCCGTCTTTGAGCAGGAATTCCTGTGTGCGGGATATACATTTCTGAACTGGGAACCATTGGCAAAAGTTTGCTGTTGCCCCTGGGGACGTGACAGGAATGACTGCTTTCAGGTACGGACGCCACCCACGCGGAGCACATCGAAACCATCAAATCCCGCATGTACGTGGGGCTCACGCCGGACCAGCGGTTCCTTCCAGGACATCTAGGGATGGGGCTGGTAGAAGGTAAGGGTGGCTTTTCCAAGCCCATTTGGGCTCCTTCCTTTCCCCCCCGAGATCCCCTCCTTCACGGCCGTCATTTTCCTGTCTCCGCCCACACAGGCTACGATTCCATGGGCTACGAGATGTCCAAGCCTGACCTCCGAGCTGAGCTCGAGGCCGACCTGAAGCTGATCTGTGAGGGCAAGAAGGACAAATCCGTGGTGCTGAGGGAGCAAATCCAGAAGTACAAGCAGGTCTTTGTAGAAGCGGTGCAGAAGGCCAAGAAGTGAGTCCTGCCTCACTGGGGTCTCTGGTCTGGAAAGGCGGCTGAACCCCGGGGGGTCTCCTTGCTCTACGTTTTGCTCGTGGGTTGCATTAGATAAAGAGATGGAAATGTCCTCCTGGGAGTCTGGGATCAAAGCCCTTCTCTCTGTCCATGAATTCACACGCACTTGGTTTCTCATCTGTAAACTAGGCACTTTTGCAAATTAAGGAGGTTAAGAATTTGCCACTCCTTGACGCATGTACAGAAGTGGACATCCCACTTCTGAGTATTCTGTAACCTGGAAAACCCTATAAACGAGTCACCAGAAGTCAGAATTGACTTGATAGCATGTGACTACTATTATTTACTCTTCCTTTGGAAATACAATAAATGCAAACATTTTGGAACCTGCAACCCTCTGGAGCATCGACCGCCACCACGTTCATTGCTTAGCTGCAAGCATGACAAGAATAACAGAACCTGCCAGAGGCAGCTCTTGTTTATTTCCAGGGATGGTGGTGTCACTTACAGGGGTCTCATCCCATTCATCCTTTGATCAGAACCACCGGTGACCAGAAAAACACAGCACACTTTTATTCGTTTCTCTTTCTCTCTCAACAGGTTGGATGAAGCGCTGTCTCGGTATTTTGGAGACGTGACTCCTGTTTCAGAACAGGAAGACATTTACCCCGCCATGCCCGATCCCATCAGGAAATGTCCGCAGTGCAACAGCGACATGGTCTTGAAGACCAGGAAGAACGGAGGGTGAGTGAGAGGCAAGACAGAGAGAGGACGACTGGCGTCTTAAAGAGCCGAGAGCTTGCAGGAGCCTGGCAGAGACGCCCGGAAATGTTCCATTAGAGCTAGGAGGCCAACACGCCCCTACTGGGACCTAAAAGGGGGAAGAGAATACTCCCACGTGACCAAAAACACACACACATAAACATTGGTGGCAGAGATTATTAATATACAGAGCCCATGATGAATTTGACCATGGTCCGTTCTGGTGTTCCCTGCGCCTGCTGTGATGATTAGGGCTGTTGCTGATAGTAATGACGTATTTCCCCAGGTATTACCTCAGCTGCTTGGGCTACCCCGCCTGTAAATCCGCAGTGTGGTTTCCCGATTCGGTGCTGGAAGCCAGCAAAGACGGCTCGGTCTGTGATGTGTGCAGACCCCATCCGGTGCACAGGTGAGCATTTTATTGGGGTGGGACGCATTCAGTGGTGTTCATGCTGCAACTCAAGGGTCGGTGAACCAGCCTTTCGGCTGAGTAACTCATCCAGTCCTATCCTAAACTCAAGAGAACCTGTAGGGCAGTAAAGCCCAAAAGATGGGGCAGAAGGTACCATAATTGCCAGCAGCTGCCGAAAGTGAGGCCCTACCACATCTTCAAAAAGGGCCTTGCTTTATTTACATTTTGCAAAGCCAGGGGTGGGACTTGCACAGTCTATGAGGTCAGGAGCAGGAAGAACCAACCTGCCCATCCCTTGATCTTCACAAAGCAGGAGGAGGTCAAGCTCTCCTTGGGAAGCAGGCGACAGATGTCGGTGTCTGTTCTAATCTATGGATTTTATCATTCAGGTCTGTTTCCTCTTGTTTGGACCCTGTGGTTCTTGCTGTACAGTGGTGCCTCACTTAGCGGTGATAATCCATTCCAGGAAAATCACTGTTAAGCGAAAACATCATAAAGGGAAAATAGAAAGCCCATTGAAACGCATTGAAAACCATTTAATGCGTTCCAGTGGGCTAAAAACTCACAGTCCAGGGAAGATCCTCCATATGGCGGCCATTTTCGGTGCCTGTATAGCGAGGAATTCATCCCTAAACACAGCGGGGAGCCATTTTAATTACCCAGCGGCCATTTTGAAACCGTCGACCAGCTGTTTAAAAAATATCATTTTGCGAAGAATCGGTTTCCAAAGCAGGGAACTGATCATCGCAAAGCGAAAAAAAACTATTTAGACCATCGTTTTGCGATCGCAAAAGCGATCGCAAAAGCGTCGTTGTGAAGTGGATTTGTCGTAATGTGGAGTAATCGTAAAGCGGGGCACCACTATATCTGTTATGTAAGTCCCTTTCAGCTCCCTGGCCAAGACAGTGATATATAAAGATGGAAAATGATAGGAATGAAACTCTACATTGACTTAAATTCTTCTGCAGCCAGTTCAGACACCTGATCTGGTCTCTGCAGGTGCGAAGGTGCGTGTTTTCATCCTGTAAATATAGATGGCCTTTTGTAACACCCTGAGCCGTGGCTCTTGAGAAACAGTGGTTTTTATGTCTGAGCTGAATAGAAGCTGAGAGGCAGCTGCTTGGAGCTGTGATCTAACGCCCAGCAAACCCCCACCCTGTGCTCTTGTTCATCCTCGCCTTCAAGCAGACCCAGCGCTAACTTCTAACCCCTCTTCGCTTTAGGTTGAAACTGAAGTTCAAACCGGGGAGCCTTCCGGCCACGATGCCTCTGGAGTTTGTCGGCTGCATCGGAGGCTGTGACGAGACCTTGAGGGAGATCCTGAACCTGAAATACCTGCAGGGCCCACCCAGGCCCGGCCAGACGGCCAGCCAGCGGACTAACCCTTTACAAGCCAACCATGCTTTGAACCATGTGGGCGGCCACCAAACCAGCCGCAGCCTCCCGCTGGTGGGCCCCAGGGCGCCCTCTGCGGGGGCAGTCAGGGATCCCTCCGCTTCCCTCGTCGACTCTGACTGGAACAGCAACGCCGTCGTGTGCAACTGTGGGCAGGAAGCCCTATCGCTGACCGTCCGGAAAGAAGGGCCCAACCAAGGCCGGCAGTTCTATAAATGCAGCGCCGGGACGTGCAACTTCTTCCTGTGGGACGACCGGCAGACAGAGGGCACAAGCAACAGGACGGCCAGGGGCTCTGCCCCACCTTCGGGGTCCTTAACAAGGGGGGGGCCAGGCTCGGCACGCTCCCGGAGTGAAGGTGCTGAACCAGGAGGCGGCGGCAACGGCGGTGCCGTCTGCAGATGCGACCAGCCGGCAGTCACGAGGACGGTCCAGAAAGAGGGACCCAACAAGGGGCGGCCGTTCCATACCTGCTCCAAGCCCAGAGAGCAGCAGTGTGGGTTTTTCCAGTGGGCTGATGAAAACCTGGCACCAGGTAAGGGGAAGAACCCCCAGAGCGAGCGTGGTTAGGCCAAATCTGACTAAGACTAAGGAGAGGCCGGTGGATTATCATCACGTTTCTTTGCTTGTGAAACTTGACTCTAAAGTAGGATCCCACCCCCTGAAGTCTTGAAGGGTTCCACCTTTTGATTAATTGATTTTGGGTAAGGTTTCTGGCCTATGGGGGCAGAGAAGGAATTATAAAGGGAAGCCGCTACACTACCTGGGTTTTAAGAGGTTGGTGGCTACTGCTAGCCAAGGTTAGAGCGGTGCTCAGTTTCCTCGTTTGTTTTGTTGTTTGTATTGCTTGCCTAGAGGCAGGCAATAATTAAAGCCTCTCAAAGCAGTCACGTATTGCTTTGAGAGGGTTTAATTTAATGGCACTGTATACCTATTTTAAGAAAACAAGCAAAATGTCAAAAGATGGCCTCCTCCGCCCATTTCATGCTGCAGCTGTCGTTCTGAGCCAACCTCTGGGTACTCCTTGTTCAGATGCCTATAATCTGACTTTCTCACTCTTTCCTTGGACTTTATTCCCAGTTTTTGAGCCTGCCTTTGTAGTTGTTCTGTGACACATAGTTCATCTTGGCAGCAGAGAGACCCTACCTCTGAAAGGGCACGTATTCAGTTTTCTCCCTTTCTGTTTAAACCTGTCCTCTGCTGGAGAAGAGGGAGAAAGAGTTTTGCTGGGCAATGCTGATCAGCGACTTCTCCTTATCGTAGATGCCGCTGGATAAAACGGGCTGGGTGGTTATTCAAGTTATCAACTTCTTTAGCCACTTCAGCTGTTCTAAATCCCGGCATCAAGTATACATCTGGGCAGTCCTTTGCCCGAGAGCGCCCTTCAGTTGGCTTCACAGGGTAGAATCGGAGGCTAGACAAAGATTCCGGCCAACCCAGCAATGAAAGGAATCTACAGTTAAAGCACCTTTTACCGATGGCCCTCCAACCATGGGTATAAAACCCTAGAAGAAGGGGACTTTCCTCCCCACTTCCCATGGTCGTCTAACTGTCACCAGGGAATTCTTTTCCAATGTTTAATTGGAATCTCTTTCCTTATAATTAGAATCCTTTGCGCTTGAGCACAGGCCTCCAGGATTGCTGAAATTATAGACACAACCTTCTTGAGATGCGGTAACCATGGCTTTGGCACGATGGGTCGTTGGAAACAGCCTCAAATATATTTTCTCTCCAACAGCGCCGGCATCCGGCTTTCCTTCAAACCCCTTCACGGGCGAACGGAGCGCGTGGGGGTCGGGAGCCAAAGCGAAAAGGTCCGACAGCGATTCTTCCCTGAGGGCACCGGCCACCAAGAGGCAACGGACCTGCGGCCTTTGCCACCAGCCGGGCCACACCAGGAAGACGTGTCCGCAGAATCGCTGAAGCAGGCCAGCCCCACCGGACACAGTCCCGCCCCCCCCCCCCCAATCAAAGGGAAGAATAGGACGGGAGAAGGAGAACCCGTTCTGTATGACCTGGTGCACTTACGGGGGTGACGGTGTTTCTGCAAAAACCTGTTTGCAATCGGAAGCCGTCGAGGCCTCGGTCTCTGAAGCCTGGTCACAGAATCCCTTCCATGGATCCAGCTTGGACTTCCATCAAACAAGTGTGCCTTTGCTCCCTCACTTGGAGATGTTCAAAAATTCAGAAAGAGCTGAGGGGGTAGCCAGTCTTTCCAGGAATGCTTCTTCCCTCTCTCTCCTGCGTTTCTTCATTATGTTTCTTTCCTAAGTCCCCTCCTCCAAAATAGTGTGACTCACACAAGCAGTTGTCTGTCTTGTCCAACTTTTTTTTTAAATACTCTTCAGTGCTTGCTTCTTGGGAGTGATGGGGGGGGAACTCATCGTGAACTTCTTAGCAGAAGTTCCTGCTTCACAAAGACCCTGACTTTGAAGTGCCTGCAGTTTCTAACGATTCCACAAGAAGGAAAGAAGCCCAAGACCTCACACCCCCCCCAAGCCACAAAAGTTGGGTAGAATTACATTTCAAGGAGGAAGTTTCATGGTAGGACGACCTGTAGGTTTCATCACTCCTCGAATCACTTGGTGGTGTTTCTTGAAGGATGGCTGTGGTTTCTGGAGAGCAATAGCCCAGCATGACCTGGTCTTCTCTAAAAAGCTCGAGAGGCTCCCACAGGTGGAGAGAGTGAAGCTTCTCCTTCCTCATTGCCAGCTGGCAGCCGCATCCCTTTCCTTCCACCGAGGGACAACAGCCATTTACCCTTGAAGAGCCAACAGAATGTCTGCAGCAGATCCTTTCTTAAAAAGCACACATACTTTTCACATCATTTTGTGGTCTGGTCACTCCAAAAAGCTGCTGCTGCCTAGTTACAAAATGAGTTCAGGTCACTTGTGTGCCCTTTTACAATTAAAATTTATGTCGATTTTTAAGCTTAAGCTCTGTATGGTGTTTCCTTACTCTACTTTGCCTGCGTGGGTGTGTTTAAGATACTGCCGATTCGACAATAGAGTTCAGAAGTTCTTTAAAGAAAATTAAGGCATTCTCTTATGTGGGGGGGGGGGAGTAAAAATCCAAGAACTGGGTTTTGTCTTATCATCAACCTTCCCCACCCCCTGTAGCACCTCCAAGAGCCGCCACCCATATAGTTAAGGTTGTATCCTGTTCCTTCCTTCCTAGTCCTTCAGCTTCAAGAAGGAAGCTTTTGCATCGGCCAAATGCTAAACGTGATGATCTGGGAACAGTGAAAATGGGAGTTCACAAATCCCTCTCGTAGTGCCACTCCACTGAGAGGCGGCACCCTTCCTATTACATGCTTCAAGTTTCCAGTATCCGCAGATTTCAGTTCTCAAACATTAGTAGTGGGTCCTGATGGCAATTTTTATCTATTTTAATTGTATTTTAACCATTTTATCTTTTTATTGTTGTAAGCTGCCCAGAGACCTTTGGGTAGAGTGGGCGGCATATAAGTTAAATAAATAATAAATAAAACAACACTCAGAGAAAAGGGGGAAGCAAATAAATTCATTTCTTAAATAAGACTTGGAAGATTTTGGCAGTGAAATCTCTTTATTGCCTCCTCTTTACATGACATATAAGAGGATGTTGGAAATGGGATGCATGAGCCCCTCCAGTTAATGTTGACCTCCATTCCCATCATCCTCTATCAGCTTTGTGGGCCAATGGGAGTGCAGCTCAATGAGGTGAGGAGCCACCCATTCTCCACACCAGTGTGAACCATCTCTCTGTGATAAAGCTCACCTCAGACATTCCCCCCCCCTTTTTATTAAATTCTATTCTGTCAGAACATATATATGTATACACACACTTTGTAAATGACTTTATCAGTGTATCATCTCCCTTCAAAAGCAAGGTTTCTTTGCACAGCAGTGTGTGGGTAGCTGCTAGATAGCTAGGCTGGCGTTTCCACACGGACGCACAATTGCGAAGAAAGCACGAGGAAAAAAATCGGCACAAAAAGGTAGCTCAGTGAGACAGAAAAGGGGTCTCCGTTGAGCAAATGTACACCACCGTTCGCTGCTTGAGATCACGACCTGATCCAGTTGAGGGTGTTGATGGGGGAAGAGTCACCCCCTGGCTCAGGCTTCTTAAAACTCATAACGACGCCAGAAAAAAGGGTGGAAATTTAGAAGGTAACCGGCACTTGGAGGACCTTCCGTTCCTCCCCTCCCTGCAGTGCAGAACCCTTTTCCACTTCCGTCGCAAGGCCCGTGGTCTACAAGCCAGGCCAAGGAAGGGGGCGTGGAATCAAAGCTTTCCTCCTTCCATCCAGAAAACCTCTTGATTTTGATCATACGGTCTTCTCCAGCTCAGCCCTTCCTCACCCCACAAAATGCCCCCAACACCGGCTAAGGGCGATGGGAGTCGTAATCCGTAATATTCCGAGGGTGCTTCACCAGAGAAGCTGGCAAACGGAGGTCCCTTGGGCTTTCCTGGGGCAACGGAAAAGCTGATGGGCGTTGCATGATGGCACAAGCGATCTGCCCTTTCCAGTTTACCCAATTAAGTTTCCAGGAAAGCACAACATCTAGATGTAGCCCCATCTCTCCCCTAACCGACCCACCCATTTCGGCACTTTGTTAATTTTTCCAGGGCTGGTATCCAGGATGACCGGCAAGCAAAGGAAAAGTAATTGAAATTTTAGGCCCATGAGGTAGATAAACAGATCTTGTTTGTGCCAGATTGGGGTCTGCCCTGATCAAGGAAAACCGCCTGAAGGACAAGTCAAGTTTCTAGTCCTCTGGAGGTCTCATCACATGCTTCAAAAGCTTGGCCAGTTGGCCAGGCATGACAACAGAAGCGAAGAGCTACGCCCCAGGAGAGGAAACCCCGCAAGTCTAAAGAAAGCATCACCATTTAATGGCATGACTTTTTTCTTCAGGTTATAAAAATGCTCCTTCTGAGCACCCAAGACCTGCAAACATGGAACAATGATTCTTGGTTTGGCAAAAAATCCCCCATCATTTAACAAAGCCTGAACTCCTCTCCTGAAGATGGGGAAGTTGCTTTTCAAACCACCATCCCAGAATCTCCCAGATTGGATAGGTAGGGGGATTCCGAGGCTCGTAAACCAAAAACGACCGTTTTCCTCAAGTCTTGTTTACCATCGTCGGTTTAACCTTTCCGGAATCTGCAAGCGCTCGGATCAAACAGCACAAGACTGTCAAGTTCCTAAACTAGAATGGGGACTGATCCTTAAATCTGAATTGGGGGTTCTGCAAGTTTACATCTTGCCTTCAATGCCACCTCATGCTGCCCCAGTCGCGTGGGGACGAACAGAGACTCGCATGTCCTCCCATCTCTTGATCAAAGAAAACGGGATGGAACCACTAAGGATTAATAATGTTATGCCAACCATTCCAGAAAGTTCTAAGTCAAGGGGAAGAGAACAGGCAGACGCTTACTATCTTTTATCAATCCTGACCCATTTTACTTCGGGAGTGAATATTTTACGTTTTCCTTGGGTGCAAAGGCTGCCCCCCCCGGGGGGGGGATCGCCAGAAAAGTTTCCTTTCACGCCACTGCGAAAGGAGATTTAAGTGCAGGAACCTCCACCAGGCCCGCGGTTCATAAACCAAATCCAGCGGCGAGGTCGGGCTGGGCTAAAGCCTCGTAGAGCGTACACCCGATGTCCTCGATTTCCTCCGGGAGCAAGTGGTCGAGAAGGTTGATCCGGCTGTCGAAAAAGCACGGGAGGGATCCTTTCGCCAGGAACTGGACCAGCTCCTCCAGGACCTGCTGGAACCGGTCGGCCAGCGTGGCCTCCGACCAGTCCGTCTCGGTTTCGCTCACGTGCAGGAGGACGTGAGTCAAAGGGGCGCCGCTCACTTTGGTCCAGAAGGGGTGGTTTCCTAAAAGGACCTTCAAGAGGCTGAGGCAGCGCCGGCGGGCACCGGAATCTCGGGCGTCCAAATCGTTCAGCCGGGAGATCTCCGCCGTATAAAAGTTTTCCTCCCAGAGGTTCTCTCCGGGCTCCTCCGAGGAGGTCAAGAGGAGGATTTTATCCCCGGCTTCGATCATCGGGCAGAGGGCGATGTCCAGATGGGTCTGCCGGTGAACCACCTCCAACTTGAGCTGCTTGGGAGCCATGGCCGGCCGGATCACACATTCCAGCACGCTGCCCAGGACCGGCCAGTGGGTCGACGCCATCAAGATCTTATGGAGGGCCTCGTGGATGGCGTTGGAGGAGAGATACCCGCCCACCAGGAACCTGTCCCAGGCGCTGCTTCCGCGCTGGAAATACTCCAAGCCGGTCCGTTTCACCAGCCCAAAACGGGGGTTATTCACCACCGTCTGTTCGCCGGGGACCAAGCGCCAAAGATTAGGTTCCAGAACCAGCGGGAGCACGAAGGAGACCTCGAGGTGGCCACGGCTCGCCACGTCGTCGCACAAGTAGCCGCTCAGCCACCCGTTCGCGAAGGGCAGCTCCGGAGACTTGGTTTTCAAGAATGTTTGGAACGCGGCGCAGACGTCCTCTGCCAGTTGCTTCCCCAGAGCCTTTTCTGACTCCGAAACAGAGACGTGGGCCTTAGAGAAGGCGAGGAGCTTTTCCTGAAACGCGAGGCACAGCGTGGGCCTCGATTCTGTCACAGGGGCCCCCGAGGACAGGAGAGAGCTCTCGGATTCTGTAAAGCATTAAAGAAAATAAATACGTTCTATCAGCTTGCCAGAGAATTTGACAGGAGTCCTGAGGCACTAGAACGGAGCTCAAAAATGGCCATTTTTCACTAAGGCAAACTAACAGAGTTTCTAGACCTCATGGAGTCATTGAAGAGGTCACTGAGAAAGCTCACTTATGGGAGATGAAAGCCACAGATTCTCCCTTCTGTGGTTTTAATCCCTTTGTCACTCAGAGGTTCCTGTAGAGTCTTAAATCTCTCTTTTTTTTTTCACTAGGGCATCTTCCTCATACTGGGCAAGGTATGTGGGCTAGCAGACCAGGTGGCTTTCCAGAGGTGGACAGACTTCCACTCCCCTGAGCCTTTAGCCATCATGGCTGATGGTCGGGGATAACGGGAGTTGAGATCCAACATCTGGAAAGCCACAACACAAAGTTGTGTTGGTGGGGGGAGGGAAAGACAAGGACCCCCTTGGCACCCGAAAGGCTAACAAGCTTTATTGGGCATTTGCCCATCTAAGGAAGCGAGCTGTGGTCCAGGAAATCTGAAGCCAAATCAAAGTGAAGGAGTCTTTTCGAGTCGTCACCAGGCCCTCTGGCGGGTTTCGCCACTAAGCTAAAGGCTCCCCAGGATATTTGGGGGGGCTGTTAAATTGCACCCCTGGAACGGTTTCACGACAACCAGAGAAGGGCTCAAGGGCGCCAAAACACCACGGATCTTTCCCCCAAGCCAATGGGGACAAGAGAGACACTCCTCCTCCTATTGTAGCAGAGAACCACCAGCAAGCTGAACGCCACTTTGGGCTGAAAAAATCCCCCAGATCCTGATGGAACGCTTTCCTAACCTTTTCCAGGCCCATCCGTGGCCGAGGACAGCAAGGGCGCCTCGAGGTCCTGCCGGCGCACCTTGGGGACCGCCTTGATTAAACTCAGCTCCTGCCAGCTCTCCTCCAAGGACTTCTGCTTGGCTTTTATGTCATCATCCTCATCCGGCAGGCTGGTGGCTCGGTCGATGAGCTGAAAGAAGGAGAGGCAACCCACGCACAAGTTAGCATGGGTCTTCCTCTTTGACACACACGCATACGCACACAAACACCCCAATGCCAGCTCCACTTTAGAGAACTGATGAATGAATGCATGAATGAATGTTATTTTATTTTTACCCTGCCTTTCTCCATAAAAGGACCCAAGGCAGCAGACAACATTAAAAGGACAAGACTTCAAAGCTAAAAGCAGTAAATCTACAAATACCTAAAAAGAATGAAGTACAGTGGTGCCTCGCACAGCGAGGTTAATCCATTCCGGATTAAACCTTGCTGTGTGAAAGCATCGTTGAACAGGGCAAGAAAACCAATTGGAACGCATTAAACAGTGTTTAATGCGTTCCAATTGGGCTGAAT